TGGGGGAAAAAAAAGTATTTTGTGTCTTTTTTTTTTTTTTTTGTAACGGCTCTAATACCCCTGTACTTTGAGGTAAAGACATAAGTTTTGGCAAGCAAAGGTTGTGAATTTGCTTTTTGCTATTCCTGTGAAAATCCATTTGGATTTGGCTAAAATACATTGAAAGTGTTTATTCTCAGCTGTGTTTACTTTGGTTTTTGTTTTTTTTTTTTTTTTAACCAGTCTCATTGTATTGTTTTCATATTCACTGCCAATTTACACATTTAAAATGTTCAGTAGAAAGTCATCCCAAGCAAACTCTCAACACTCATCCCTTTTTTTAGAAGTTTTTTAACCATACCAGTTATTCCATTTTGTTGATGTCAGTGGTAGAACTGCCACTTTTAACTTTTAATATATTTTACTATTTGCAGATAATCCAGTTAAAATATGTATCACAAATATTCCTGAAGATTTGGGAAAAAATATCTCCAGTCCATTTCCAAACAAATCCTCTTCCCAAATGGTGACACATCTGACCTGTTCTATAATGACAAATCTAAATTTTTTAAATAAATATAGAATTCAGATTTTTCTGAAATCTTGTGTGTGTATATATAGAAGTCCATATATACACATGTACATTTATACAGCATTTTGACTTGTATCGAAGTCATTATAAAAGTTGTTAAGAATTTTGCCATTTTCTGGCTTAAATTTTTGTGGCCTGTTATGGATAACAGAAAAAAAAAATTTACTTCTCTAAAATTATGGCTGAATAGAATTTCAACAGAGAATCTCTGCTTGCCTAGTTGACAAATGTTTCAAGTTGAATTTGGAACTGTGTTGTTGTGCTTTTATGACTCTGGTATAGGGAAACAGGCAAAATTAATGGCTGATCTTGAAATATAAAAGTGTTGTAATGTAGTAATGCAGAATATTTTGTCGCAGTTTTTGTTTTAATTCTTAACTTGCTGTTTTTTCTCTTTAGTAGCATAGAAAGAGTACTGCATAGGAATCTTCCAGTAGTGTATTCACATTTGTAGGCATCAGTCTTCTCCCAGCTGCCACCACCAAAGGGTGGATCAAGTCCAGCCAGAAAGTGTGTATCTATTTTCAGTTCAAAACTAGTGTGCAGTCAGAGAGTGAATGTAAATTTGCAACTACCAGGTTTTTGTTTTGGATTTTTTTTTTTTATTGGAATGATCTTTTCAGTTGTGTTACATGGTGTGTTATGTCCTCCTAAGCAACAAGTTAGATGTTAATCACACTTTCTACACCTGGGTACTTGGTTAGGGACTTTTTGCCCGTTGCCAAGATTTAAAGACAGGACTCTTAGGAGTGAAGTAAAAGCATATTGCTTACACCACTTTTACCTAATGCAATATATTCTATTCCCCAACCCCTAATAACCAAAAGAGGAAAAAAAAAAATAAAAAAACAACCAACCCTGTGATGCATAAGAGCAAACTAGATTTGCTGTAATTCAACAATAACATTATTTTCCTTGTCATTTTTGTACAAGGAATTAAAAAATAGAAATCAAGTACATTAATATCTCTCAAAACAATAATGAGGATTCGTACAAGGTTTTAAGTGGTTAAACTGAATATACTTCACAGAAACAAAAGTTGCTCCCATTTAAGGAGCTCATGCTCCAGATGTTTTATCAGTAGCTCCTACTGTTTTTTTTTAATTCTAGGAGCAATATGCAGGTGTAGTTTTACTATTTTATACATATGTGTATTTAAATTTTATTACCGAAAGATAACATTTTTATAAATGTGTTTGTGTTCCAAAGGCATTAGAATAAGGATGTATTAATAAGGAAAATACCTTTTGAAATTCTGCAAACTACTCCTAGATTTTGGGGTTAGGAGCATATTATCTCAGTGGGCTTTTAGCTCTGCTTCACAACTGCTTCCTCTGGTTTCTGTGAAACAGATTGCTCACTTACTTACATCTTTAGTTGAATGATTTGTTCAATATTGCTTTTTTTCCCTTCACCTTTCTAAAGGAAAGAAAAAAACAGATGAACAGAGCACAAAGTGAATGCAACCGAATGTAACTTTAGTCTAAATGAGCAACTATAATGCATCTAGAAAAAACTCGGGTTTATTCTCAATCTTTTTAATCAATCTGAGATGAAGATAAATGGACTTAATTCCTCCAGTGGGTTATGTCCCATGTGGAGCCAAGCATCTGCAACTCTCCCTGCTGCAGAGGAAAGCTGCAAGTGCTTGTCATCCTGCAGCTGGCCCAGCAGTGTGACCAGGCAGCACTGCCCATCCTGGGTAGCCCCTGGCTCACAAATTTCCAATCTGTAGCCACTGTTTGTCTCAGTTGCCAAAAGACTTCATTAGAAAACAAAACCCAACAGACACTTTGCCAACACCTGTTTCTTAGTGTGTAGCCAGAACCCTTATTACTACTTCATTTGTGCCTTAGCTTCCTGAAAAGGGATTGACATTTCCCTTTGGAGTTAGATGTACATTTCACTTGAGAAATAGGGACCTCAGACAAGATATTGAACCTCATTCAGTCAGGGTTTCAGTGGGTGGATGCACCCGGCATGTTTGCGGCTGAACTAGGATGTAGGGTAATGTGGAAGCAGACTGACCCTGTAAGCAATACCACCGCCACCGGAGTGCTTTTGAGCATCACTTAGGCAGAGTCAATATTGGCCACTACTAAACCATCAGTTTTTAAACTCCGTTTTTTTGATTTCAGATGGATTCTTGGTGGGAGGGGGGAGGGCTGGCTGATCATGCACCACTCTTTGTGCAACTTCTAAACTTCTAGTAAGGTTGGTTTTGGTTTTGGGTTTTTTTTGGTTTTTTTTTTGTTTTGTTTTGTTTTTTTTTTAAATATATATATTTTTGTGTACTTGTTGCTTGTGCTTTATTTAGTAGTAAATTGTGGAATAGAGTGATTTATTGTTAATTTGGCAGTAGCGGTTTTTAAAAACCATATACTGACTGAAACATGAGCCAGAGCTGATTGCTTTATTAAGCTAATAATGAATGTTAAGAGTACATATTTTCAGGATCATTTGCCTAGTGAGCTAAACTTGTATTATAGGCCAATATTTTTTAAAATAAAGCTTGGTCAACCTCTATGTTACACATATTACAAGATATAGCACTTTCAAAAAGAAAACCTAAACCTTTTAAGAAAATTTCTTACAGGTTATGCTTTTTATTATAAAACCTTTTATTATAATTTGTTTCAAGTGCCATTAGATTACATATATGTAGGCCTTTGGTATAATGCTTTGTGTACAAAATGGTAGACATTGTAATTTTAAACAGGTACATTTTTACAGTGTTTTCTTATCAATTTGCTATATTGCACAGAACCAGTGTGTCTTTCTTAAGGGTTTTACAATGGTTTTTACTAGGTTTACATGTTTCAAACTACACTGTCTTCTACTGCCATTTTGAATACCAGTCAAAAACAAATAGGAGTTTGTCCTCTCCGTTTGCAAACTGTGTCCTCTGGAGTTCTGGATGGTAAACTATGTCAAAAATGTTTAACATGCAGTATTTGATACAGATTTTTTTTATCATATCCTATCATTGCTATGCTGCTGTCTGAAGTTAACTTAGGGCCTGATCCTGCATCCGTAAACGTCAAGGGCAGCAGGATTGCATCCTTTGTTATGTCTGTCTCATACACTGGTTTAGCAGCTTCTCCTGTATTCTTCTCAGTCTATAGATAAGCCTCTGAAATATATGTACTTCTCTGGTATGTAGTAAACTGTATAGGCTTAGCTGCCCATCCTGCATCCTCCCAGTGTACAGTTAAAACCACAGCTTACTTAGCATCATGCTCAACTTACAAGTAATGCCACAGTAGTTCAAAATGTGTTTGGGTAGTCCCAAAGCTTTTATGCAATAAGGGTGTCTTACTTTTGTTGGAAGGCAGTGTCTTTTGATAACAGTTATCTAGCCCTGGAAGTGACACAGAACTATTGCTAATCATATGTAAACACTTTTCAGTATAAGCTTCAGTGGTACAGTTGAACCAGAGTGAATGTTTATCTCCTCAGAAACACTCCTGCAATATTGTTATATTGGATCATGCTGCTAATGTAACTTGGGATACAACTCCTCTCATGGTGCTACAAACCTCCCTGTCTCATTCAGATGTATTTTTACCCATAGAAAAAGAGGACTATACTAGACCTATAGTTGTATGATATATTTTTATACTGTGACTTAATTTGTCATTAATGAACTTTGTGCAACACCACAATGTATTCATATGCACTTGCAAAAGTAAAATTTTGGACATGCAAATTTAAACGCTGACAAGCCTAGCTCTTGTTCACAAAAATAGGTGACTGCTAGTTAATGTTAAATGCGGGCTTTTTATATGGTGTGGAGTGAAGAACATGCTATATATTATTAAAAGCCTTTGGATTTAGACAAAAACTGGGAAAAGTATATTGGGGAATGATGACACACCCTAACCTGAGTCGGATTGCTGAAATTATATTTTTAGCTAGTGGAAAAATTGTTTGGACTTGTTTGCTAAAATGTTTTTAATGATAAAAATTTTGAGTCAAAAAATAGAGAAAAAAAAAAAAGAACACAGAAAACCCTGCATTCCAGACTGAATTTGTATATGTTTCTTGCATTTAAAATTTGCTATCCTGTGATATGGGAAATTGAGTTGCTTATCATGTATATGTACTTTAAAATGTATTCACAAACTACTGTTGTATTTGTATAAAATATAGACAAAAAGATTGCATATATATTTTTGTGTATAAGCTCTGTAAAATAGCAATCACATTATGAAGCTGCAGCAGAACTTCATTTTAAACATTCACATCCAAAGAAACAGACTATTTATTGTCCACATACCCTGATTATAAAATATACCTTGCTGCTATTAAACAATAGTGCTGCAGCTTCTTGTGGCCTACAGTGTTATGTTTGCTGTACAAAAATATGTGAACTCCACAAAATATATCAATAAAATTACAGAATGGTTTTAGTTAATGAATAACTTATGCCTGGCATTTCAATAGTTAATCTTGATCTGCGTGTTTGGGATTACAGTAAGTAATTACAGAATACATCCAGTTTTGCTGGGTGTAGTTATTCTGAGTTTGCAAAAGCATAACTGTCTTTCCAATTTATGACTGGTAAAATGTCAGTTTTTCAGAAAATATTAAAGCACAAATATCCATGTTTCATGATTTCACCAAGGAACAAATGGGATGATGCTACTGTGTCTGTGACAAGACAGATCTGAACTGAAGGAAGCAATTGAACTTGCCATCAAATTGCACTTTGAAATGCTGTGAGACACTGGAAGGTGAGTGTGGGGTTTCTGTAGTGGGACCACTCATTTGGGAGACATAGGTGAGTGATTCTCTTATCGTTTCAGATTAATGCAAATCATTTACATCAATTGTTATGGTTTACAGGACAGACTTTAAGGGTGTGGCATGTGCTAAGTGTGCCAGAGGGTTTCTCTCTGCAGTATTTCCAGGAGAAACTCCATTGCTTTGATCCCATAGTTCTCCCATCTGCCCATGACAGTGCCGAAGAAGTCAGACTGTAATGCGTGGGGGAAGAGGTGCCTTGCAGCCAGACAAGCAGCCTGCACACAACTGCAGAAGGTTGCCTCTGCTCATTCCATGCAGTTGCTCCCTAGCGTAGACTGTCTGACAGGAAAGTAAAAGACTAGCATTTCACATTTCATTGCTTTTTGGAACATATTTTGTTAACATCTTCAGCATTGTCTGTGTTTCCCTGCTTTTGAGTTCCCCTCTTTTTTAAGTCTTGACTTTTTAGATTTGTTGCTGTAACCCAGTGTGAGAGAAATGATTGTAGAGAGAGTTGTTGGCTTTTACCTTCTCCATATGCAGACATCTTTCCTTTCCTGTAATCCCTACGTACCCCTTTCCTCTGAGCTGACTTATCACTTCTGTACCACAGGTTTCTAACTTGTTTAAGAGGGTTGGCCTTGTTATATTGAGGGTCAAGAGCTCTACAGATGCTCTATGATAATAAATGCTCTGCAAAACCATTTATAGCCACCCACAAACACACACACCCTCGCCCACAACCCCTCGAGAGAAAACCATCCCATCATAGCTGGTCTCACCCACCGTTACTATTTAACCTGTCCTCCTTCCAAATGGACAGCCTCTGGAAACCCTCTAGAAACTCTGTCAGCCCCTGTAGTAAGTGAAATGTGATTGAACAGATGATATCTGTGTTATATCCAGAGATCTCTTGCTGCAGTCTTTCCAGAGTTTCTTTGTTAAATTCAGAGCCACAGGCGTCTTCCCTTCTCTCTTTTGTGTAACCTCCTCTTTCCAAAACTCGCATAAGAAAGTACAGAACAATGGTCCTTCAGTATCCTCTGTACCTGTCTCACTGTCCTTCAGGAGTGGAAGAGTAAGACTATGCTAGTTTTCCCCTTCACTCTCCCTCACTTTTCATGCCTTCTTTTCCTTCCCACAGATAAGCATGCCCTAGGATAAAGACTGTTTTTTGACAGAGAAATCCAAAACTGTGATGCAGAGCTACTGCTGAACTAGCAAGAACTAAGCAGCTACATGCTGTTGGCCTCCCCGCTTTGCAAATCAAAACATTGTATTAAATCGGATAGAAAGTAAGTTTTACGAAGTGGCAGCTGCCGTAGTTGGCACAACAAGGGTTGGTGATCACAAACAGGCAGCAAGTAGCACAGCAAGATGAGCTCTATTGCAAAATTTACTCTGAACTTAATAGTTTGAGAAATGTATTGAAAGATTAACTGCTGCATGAGGTTTCAAGTTCCTGCTTATGTGCTATATCCCAGGTAATTCAGTATAAACTTTCTCTACTCCTAATAAAGGTGCAACATCTTGCCTGGTATTTTTATCTTTATATAATTCTGTTTATTTGTTGTAATGACCTGTGTGTCCTTAGGAAATTAACATATTCAGAGGAGTAAGTATTTGTAAAAAATACAGTGAGCGGTTCTTCAGTGTCATCATTGCACAACCTTGTCTTGTTCGGATATACTTGTATCATAAAACCTTCAGCTATAAAGCTAGTTTGCCTCAGATAGAGCTGAAGAGACATCAGCTATTGGCTGAGCAGTCTGAAAACAGAACTATGGTAATGCAGTCTATGGCTGAGCTGGAAATCATTTGAATTGATCCCTTGATAGTTTACCCGTGGGACTGATTCTTACTGTTGCACCGAAGTGCAATGTAAAAAGAAGAATGACTTAGTGTAATTTTCATATAAATCAGTCAGATCTCTGCCTGATGTGTGTTAAGTAACGCAGAGAACCCGAATAGTCATAGCCTCTCAAAATCAGTATGCTGCTTCAACTTTTGCATACGTATGTGTGTGTGTATATATATATCTACTACATTTGTGTGTACATGTAGATATGTATGTATGTATGCATGGGAAAGTATCAATGTAAGGTGAAAAACTTGATAAATTATTTTGTTTTGGTTTACTTCAAAATGTTTAAAGTGTTTGTGTTTTACAAGTCCGAAGTGAATCCTGCTGTTTGTTAAAGTATCCCCTAGTTAACACAGTGTGTGGTTTCCCATGCAAGCTGGAAGAGTTTCTTCCAAATACTTGATTAATCTATGAGAGACAGCAATTTATCTAAGGGGTGCACAGACTCCCGCGAGGAAGGTGTTTGTCAGCTGTCCTTGTGTAGTACTAGATACAATTTCAGCAGAAAAGTTCTGTAGGCTGTGCCTCTGAAATTAAACTCAACTGGCTTACTGGCTTTTGTATTAAACTGTTTCACACATGGTCATGGGTAAATCCTTAAGTTCCCTCACAAGTACTTACACTGAAAATAAAAATAAAATACAGGCTCTGTATGATTAAGGGGCATGCCATAAGTGAGCAATGTCTGAGATGTAACATAGGAATATCAAATATCAAACATTCATGACAAATAAATACAGACTAAACTCGCAAACTTTCTGAAGTCTGTCCTCGCCTGAAAATTGTCTCCTCTTATTTCAGCACTGTCTGGCTCCTTATGCCAATAAAGTATTACAGGGTTGTCCCATAGTTTATGTGCTCTCCTCTCTTCAGCTTAGGCATATTTTTCTTCAGCAGTATTTTTACAAGAAGCTTCTGCTTACTCACTGATGAAAATTTATGAATTGCAACAATGTACTTGAACTGTATAACCCATTTTAATCAGTCAGGTTTAAAACCCTTTAACTTACAGCAGCCTCTGAGAATTTGCTATGGCCCACCAGAGTAGCCAGGCCATCATTTCAGAGCCACCAAATTTGGCTGATCCTCTTGCCCTTTCCCCTCTACAACTCTGCAAAGAGGTGGTATTTGCAGGAAGCCACCACATTTGCTATGGCAGTGTATTTAATATACAGTCACAGGGCTGGGCATGATCTGTGTTAATGGGATTGTGCAAGCTACTGGGAGAGACTGACCCCTTTATGCATCAGTCCTAGACATCAGCATTAGATCTATGTACCTGGGAAGGCAGCAGCCTCCCAGCAGTAGACTAGCACTAACATTACCTCCTTGGGCCCTTTGCTGTATGTGATTAATTTTTCTCATTAAGCACTGAAGCTGTTTTCTAGTCCTTAAACTACAAGTCCCATATTCTACCACTATATTTGGCATCTCCCTGTGACCCAGCGAAGTCAGCTTTGCTCCAGGGGCAACACTGCAAAACCCATCTTGGACCATTTGGCTGAAAATACTGAAATTGCCTGCCACATGACAACAGTCAACTTGCCAGCATAGGTGTCTGTCTTTGCATGGCCAGAAAATATTGCTATGGGTGAGAGCCTGTATGTCACATTTCATTGTCTTTATCCCTAAGTTTACACTCTCTTAGCTTCTTGCAAGGTACTCTTTTGAAACTGTGATATTAATCTAGAGCAGCAGATCCCAGATTGTTATCCCTGATCCACCTTGGTCACTGAGGCCCCAGTAAATCATCTGTGAAACCTCACCTGCCTTGCCAGTGTCTCCAGTTAAAACCTGTGTGTTCAGGTAAGGAGAGCCTTTGCTTCATGTTCTTGAATGCATGGAGTAACCTTTCTGTGAAGGAAAAAAAGCATCAAGCAGCTGTTTGGCAATGTGTGTTTGAAACTTGATCTTATTATTTATAAACTAGGGTTTAACCTTTTAAAATATTTATTATTATTATGTCTCAGCAGTAAAATAACATCACAGTTCTTGCAGATGTATTTTTTCTTTGCATTTAGGTTTACCTCTCACTGCTTTAAAGAAAACTTGCTTATATTTGCTGTTCCAAGGTGTCATTTGTCTCACCAAAACAGCCAAACTCTGAAACATGAACTCGATTTTTTCCTGGTTTGTGCTTTTACTGTTAAAAAAAAAAAAAAAAAAGTAGTTAATCAGTGGCCTATCTTCAGAGGAAGCCTTGTAGGGACTGGCTTCAGATAATGGTATCACTTACACCTGTGCAATTGATAATATCAGAACTCCTTTCAGGCAACTCTGAATATCATTTGAGATCTATGAGTTGTGACTGGAAGCAACGCTTGGACCATGAAACACTATGTGTGTAAGGAGAGTGTAGGTTCATCATCAAATCCCAAACTGAGATCACAGGGACTGACAGTAAATGGAGGAAAAAGAAAACTTTTATTTGAAACCTCTCAGAAGTCACGAAGGAACAGGCAAAGGAACTGTCTTGCTTTGAGTAGGACTGTAATTTAAGTCCTGAAGAGCTACATTTGGCTCCTTTAGCAGGATTACAAAGTACCTTATTAGAAACACAATGTATTGTAAAGCAGTTTTTAGGAGCCTCTGGACGGCCAAGCCTTCAAGGGTTTGTTATATGGTACACCAACCAAATGTACAAAGAAATAAAGTAATGATTATGGAGAAGGATATGTACTCCTAAACTCTCTGAAAACAGTTCCAATTCCCAGTTCTGTCCTTTGCCTGTTTTAGACAGAACTTTGGCTGTTAACCACAAGAGTAATGCACCTCAATCAAAATGAAACTGATTTTTGGTATGTGTCCTGTGTTACATCCATATCAGCCCTTTAAAAAGGGCCCTTGGTGTTGGGACTGACTTCTCCTGCCCAATGACCAGACAAACAGCAGTAGTAACTAACAACAGCAAACAAAGTTTCTATATTCCTGATAAACAAGTGAAATATAAATGGAGGAACTGAGCTAGACTGATTCTGTATACCGTCCCAGCCAGAAGCACAGATTAGGCTGGGCAGCTATTGCAACACTGGATGCACAGGTATGTTTTACTTGCAGAAACACACAAGCTTGGAACAAAATCATTGCTGCTGCAGGTTATTGCAGCTGCGACATATTGCAGCCCACGGGACACAGACTGTGTGTTACCCTCTTGTCACTTGTAAAACTTCCTGTTGCATTTTCTGCTGATGACTTCTGGTTCCTACAGCTTCCTTTTTCCTTGTGGAAATAGCAGTGCAGTGGCAACAGTGTGGTTGGAGGTTGCTGTGGGTTCCCTGGGGAAGAGCGGCTGGTAGGGAAGGGGCAGCTTGTCCCCAGTAGCTGGTCCCTAGGCCTCGCTGTGTTTCCCTACTCCAGCCTGCGGTAATGCTGGAGCTAAATGAGGCTGTGAAGCATGGCAAGGATGTCATACAGCAGTTGTGTCTCCTGTGATGTCACTGGGCCAAGTCATTAATGGATTAGAGGAAAATAATCTTTATTCTTAATAAAAGCCTCCTTGCATTTTAATCTGATTTAACTGTGTTCACATTGAAAGACACTGGATGTTCCCTTGCTTTGGTCCACAGCAATAAGTCTGAGATAAGACAGTAAGTTACATTAAAACAGTTCCTGTTCAAAAATTCAGTGTATTCCCCGAGAACAATACAACATGTCTGCCATGACGGAGGCAAAACAGAAAGGTTTCTAGCAGGAAAGGGTAACAGGAAAATTATCAACAAAGGGACAACTGAAAGAAGTGGACATAAAGTTTGGAAACAGTAATATGGAAGGTCTAGTATACCCTTCTGAATGACATTTCAATCAAAGAAATTTGGAAACAACCCTAATTCTAACCCTCTGTTTTATGAACATAGATTTTACTGCTGTGTTCTATAGCATTCTGAATCATCAGATATGCTGCTATAGTTGTCAGCTTAACAGGTCTCTTCATCCATGCATCCTTCTACCTGTGCCTCTCCCACAACCAACTTGCCCTTTGAACTTCATTGCCAGCTTAACCTGGTGAAAACAGGCTTAAGTTCTTGGAGAATTCAGAGCAGAAATGTCTTTCTGGTGCTTTTATATGCTATTTGGCAGAGAAGCCCATTGAAGAATTGGAGCCCTAATAGTACTCAGAAAACAGGCATAAAAATCTTTCCTCTCTTCCATATAGTTTCATCAGCTTTCTGCAGCTTTAGGTTTCCATCACAGCTCACCTGCATAGAAAACATTCTCTGCAAAGACTGGAAGTGAAGACTTTTATTTACAAGTATAACATCACAGTGCTGCTCAGAAAAGGAAAGTAAATACACTAAAGATCCTCTGGTCCTCCCCCCACCCCCAAACAACCCTGTGTAACTGATGTTGAGCAGTGCTTCAAACCAGAGAGCTGCTCCAAGGAGCAGGCAGCAACAGGGTATTACCTGGCTGGCTTATACTGTACAAAGAAAGCTCACAGGGTTTGATAGCACCTGAGGGGTCCAGGGGCCTCTTGAACTGTTAGAGTCTCTTCTGGGAGGGGCCAGGAAAGAAGAGCCTTGTGCTGTCAGCCAGTCTCATCTGCAGGAACTGTCGTACCCAGGGCCACTGAGAGGCCTTTTGCCATGCTTCAGTCTTTGCACTCTCCCTTGGTAACAACTCCTGTTAGCACCTGTTTATAAGTTCTTTCACTGCCTGTCTGTCCCACACACTGCCAGGTGATAACCCAAATTTCCCATTCACACTCATCTCTGATCCAAGCTTGCTTCCCCGTGAATTGCTGTGACAAATTTCTCCTGATAGTCTCAGTACTGGGGAAGATCTCCATCACTGATTTACTACAGAATGAATTCACCCTCTAGAGTTCAAGTAGGATCAGAAGATGCCTTTTGGACATCAGGTTTGCCTGTTGAGGTGAGCATCTGAATCCATCTCAAAGTGGAGAATACTCCAGTTCTGCTTGAACATGTTCTGAGTACCCCTGAAACCTCCCTCGGTGACCTGTGCTGCATCTTATCCAGAGAAGCAAAAGAAAGAGAACAGAAAATACCAGGAAGACTCTGCAGGAACTGCCTGCAGAGCCAGTACTGCCCAGAGGTAAACTCTGGAGAAACAGGCACTGCCAATCTTTGAGGTCCCATGGCAGGATCCACACCAACAAAGCTGACATCCAGAGGAAGGTTCTGAAGGGTGAGGAGGTGGGAAATGAGGCCAAATCTTTCCAAGATGCTTGTCAACATGTACAGAAAGTTACTTACTGGAATATTCAAAAGCCGTTAGCTGTATAGGTTCCATAAGTGTGCTCTGATACCTGGGCAGTACAGTAGGTACCGAACATTTATGGCAGTTAGAATGACCACTGTGAATATGTGAAAGCAGGGTCAAAATTCCAAAAGCCCCTGTGAAGAAACACCAAGGCGAAATTACTTTTATTATTATTATTATTTCTGCCAGAACAGCTCTGTAAATTCAGCAGTAAGTTCTCAAAGGAGGATCCAGAAATAAAATACACAACTCTAGTAACTGCATGGGGTGTGATGGGAAGATTACCAAGTACTTATATATAATTCTAGTTACTATACCCAAAGGATGATATGGAGCAATCATTTGTATTTATGCTGCTATTAAGGTTGCTGTCCTGCATGGGCAGAACTGAGCAGCCAAACCAGTCCCTTTGTCCCAATCATGTTGAAGGGGTAGGTTTCTACAAATGCACTTTTATATTTAGTTATGCCTGCTGTAGCCTCATCAAACGTTAGCACTCACCATTTCAGTTACTTCCACTGACAAAGACTTTGAGCTGTTTAATGCACCTGATGCTGATCATTCCTGCCTGGAGTCATGGTGAAATGCATTCACTAGTCACTGCTTTATTAACTCCTGAGGCATTTTACTAGAGGCATTCAATGGGCAGAACATCTTTCTTTTTGAGAGTAGAAATGATGTGAAATACTTATGAGTTATTAACTTTTTAGCTTTAAATCCGTTTGCTTTGACTTTCTAGAGATTTGCTTCAGGGTTGGAGAAGAATGTTTCCAGGTGAGACTGATTTGGTTCAGCTAGTTGAGACAGATGCAGCTCATTTGGGGGTGGGAGGGAGAATGGTGAAGGGAGGATAAAAGGCTTTGGAAGGCACTGTAGAGTCCTTTCTGTTGGGGAAATTTTTCTAGTCTTCTGTCTTATTAACTGCCTCTGGTTTTCTCCATCTTATTATGCCATCACCTATTCCTCTTAATTGTTTTCTTTCTTTTGAGTATTCCCCATCTGCAGATTTGCGCCCCTGCAGCAGCCCTTTAGTTATCCCTGGCAAAGACAGCAAAAGCTTTTTGGGGGGAACTCCTTCAGTCAGGACTCGCCGCTTGCCTCCACGCCTGGCCTGGTGCTCTATTGACTGGGAGCAACTCTGCCTCCTGCAGCCCATAGGCTCTGGGGGCTTTGGTTCTGTCTACAAAGCTACCTACCATGGTACAACCGTGGCTGTAAAGCAGGTGAAGAAAAGCAGCAAAAACCGGCTGGCATCGCGACAGAGCTTCTGGGCTGAGCTGAACGTAGCCTGGCTACAGCATGATAATGTGGTACGTGTGGTGGCTGCCAGCACGTGTGCCCCAGCCAGCGAGAACAGCCTGGGCACCATCATTATGGAGTATGTGGGCAGCATCACCCTGCACCATGTGATTTATGGCACTGGTGATATGTGGAGACAGGGTGAGGATGATGAAGGAGGATGTGGAAGGAAGGCCCTGAGCATGGAAGAGACTGTGTGCTATTCTTGTGACATCGTGACTGGCTTAGCCTTTCTCCACTCACAGGACATTGTGCACTTGGACCTGAAGCCTGCAAACATCTTTATCACTGAGCAGGGAGTGTGCAAGATTGGAGACTTTGGGTGCTCCCAGAAACTGGAGGAGGGCTTGTCCCACAGCCCCCACGTTTGCCAGCAAGGGGGCACATACACACACCGTGCCCCTGAGCTCCTCAAGGGGGAGGGGGTCACTGCCAAAGCAGACATCTACTCGTTTGCCATCACGCTCTGGCAAATTGTCATGCGGGAGCAGCCCTACCTGGGAGAGCGGCAGCACGTGCTCTATGCTGTGGTAGCCTACAACTTACGCCCTTCACTGGCTGCTGCTGTTTTCCACGAGTCACCACTGGGCCAGAAACTCCAAAGTATTATTAGCTGCTGCTGGAAGGCCAATGTAGAGGAGCGCCTGAGTGCAGCCCAGCTGCTTCCCAGCCTCAGGGCCCTCAAACAGAGTCTCTAGGAAAACTCGGGACACTTTAAATTTATTTTGTCAACTTTTCTTTTCCTTAACCCTTTCTGTGAACATAATTAATTTAGCCCCTGTGTATTCTAAAGGTTTTGTTGCTGGTTTGTTATACTGAAAAAAAACAAAACACCAAACTGTTTTGATATAAGAAGACTATAAATAAAGAGATTTAATAAAACTGTGGGCTTTTACCTTGGGAGGGAATAGACACAAGGATCAAGACACTGGCAGATACAACTTCAGGCTGATCTGTTCTGTGCTGTCTTGCTCAGGAAGAAACTGGGGAATGTGATGTGCAAAAAAAATAGTTGGTTTTAAGTAAGTGAAGTACAAAAAAAGGGGCTAAGGAGCTGCTTTTGGAAGGTTCTTTATACATAATACCTTTCGTATTTTCAAAATGTCAGATATGAGTAGTTCTTCACTAGCTTGGGTTGTGCATTTGAGCTTTTTCCTCTCCATTTACCAAGGAATGAGTATGTATCGCAAATCAGTGAATGCAGAAAAATAAATACAGAGTGTCAGTGGGTTTTTTTTCCCTTGTTCTTGGATGTACTTAATTCCAGTAAGTATGCTGCTTTTGATATGGAAAATGTGAACTGATGATATACATCTTGAAATAAGGAAACTTTTTGCCAGTCTAAGGCTATTGAGAGTAAGAAGATACATTAACAACCTGTCCTTTTTATAAGACCTCCCTGCTACGAGGGAGGTGTTAGTTGCAACTTGCTAGCTGGAACACTGCAAACTTTAATATCTGAAGCATTATAAGAGCATCTTGTGCAGAGCAGAAAGTTACCAAGTTTTTGAGGTACAGGGTGAGTTAGAAAAATAAAAAAATCGGGGAAAAAATTATTGGTAAAAGGAGGATTATTTGTGCTTCATAATGCATGGGTCAGTATTAGACAAGATACTGGAAGTACTGTAAAGAAAGTTTGCTTAAAGCAGTAATAATGATACTCTGCTGGTACTCAAAGTGTTTGCCGTTGAACTATCCTCTGCACTGCTTATGTCTTATCTACTATCTTTCCTAATCTGGCTGTAATGTGTCTGGGAAAGGAAGTGCTGTAGGCAATGCAGATGACAAAGAGCTCTGATCCATGATTTATCAGAACTGATAATTGTACATCTGAGCCCTTATCAGAGGCCAACTGCTGTAGCTGATATTGCCATTCTGCTCAAAGACTCTGCTTCTTTTTAAGACAGGAGAAAGAGTGATGTTTCAGTCAAATTGTTTTTCTTCTTTACCCTTCCTCCCCCTTGCTTCCATTCTGGAAAAAAAAAATCCCCAAGGAATTGAGCCAGTTTCCTGATTTCTGACACACATCTGTTCTTAGCCCCGTGAAATCCTGGAAATGAGCAACTATGTGAATTTGAGATGATTCTGTAGGTCTTTATGGTATTTGGGTTGGTAATTGAAATTAATGGTTTATAAAGCATATCTAAGCTTAACTATTTCTTGGTCTTCTGTCCCCCTTAAGCGGAACTGTAAATGCTGGCTGGAATCAAAAAACCTAAGGTGAATCCTGGAAAATATTTTCCATGTTTTCTCTGTCAAAATAATTATGCTATAGAACCAGAACTTTTTCTGTGTGTGTAGCATAACTTATTTTAATAAAGAAGATATCTTAAAGAAGTTATTATGATAAGTCAGTTACCTTTTGAAATGATTAGCTGAGGGCATCTAAGATAAAATGTTAGATAAAGCCAATTGACATGCCTTATCTTAACATCAAGCCTTAAATAAAAGTGCTTCTCCAGTTTTCAAAAGTATATAATAAAAAATGGAATTGAAGTTTGTTAGTAGTTCCTAGATGCTTATGTGTTGTATTTATTTTGCCAATCTAGGTAGCTGGTTGCTTATACTGCTAGAAAACTGCTATTTTTTTCCTTAATGATCCTTCAGCATCAACAAGTGCTACTTGAGTCTCTGTGAAAAATCAAGCACCCTTCAAATTCTCTGTTGTACTTGACAGAATGATACTGGATGGCCAAGACCTACTCTTGAAGTATAATCAGCTCTGCAGATGTCTGTCAATTTTTCAGGGTTCTCTTTTGATAGCGAGTGAGAGAGAACTCTGCACAGCATTCAAGATGTAGGCACATCATACTCTGCTGTAATAATGATGGTCTCCAGTTTTTAGTAACTTTTAAGGTTTGATTTGTTTTGAGGGTTTTTTGATTGCTATTGAGCTCTGAGTTAATACTAATCAAGAAACATCTCAACCCTAATAGCTCAGAATCCCTGGTTCTATGTGATGAGGATAATTTTGCCTGCTTGCTTCACTTTATATGCATATACCTTGAATTTCTTTCTGCCAGTTTGTAGTTGGCCCTTGTAATTAACATCCAAAATAACTCCACCATCAACAAATTTGTTTATCTTATGGGTCACTCTCTTGCACTTCATTTATGGATGTGCTGGGCAGCACAGGATCCCCTGAAACACCAGTGGACACTTTGTCTAGCTGAGAGAACTGATACTTTACTTTTTACCCCCGTGCCTATCTTTTGACTTATCCAGTGCAGGATTTTCTCTCCTAAATGTGGCTGCTTAATACCTTTCAAAAGTTTGCAGTGAAGGATTTTTCAAATACCTTTGGAAACCCTAAGGGAACATATCAATCAGTGCTTTATCTGCATGCTGTCAGCGCTCCTAAAGAATTCTAATACAATCCTACACAATTGTGAAGTACAACTCCTTCCAGCCAAAGCAATATTGGCTCCTTCTAAACAAATCAGGTCTATATGTCTGTTATTTCCTTTAATATAAGATCTGCTATACAGATGTCAATCATGTAATCAGAAAACTTATTTTTTAAAGACTTCCTTGGGATATGATCTTGAGGAGGGGCCAAGGACAGCTGGTTGGTTTTAAAAGATTGCCTTTTACAAACTCAAGATTCAGTCCTCATAAACAGGAAATCAGGCAAAGGTGGCAGGATGCCCCCAGGGATAAAAAAGGAGCTCCTGATTAAACTCAAATGTAAATAATAAATATGCAAGAGTTGAGAGACCAGTGGGGAGTTTGAAGCAAGGAAGACTTACTGTTGGTAAAGAAGAATGAGGTTAGGGAACATCTAAACAAGACTTACAGAAGTTCAGAGGACCTGATGGGATGCACTCACAAATGCTGACAGAGCTTGCCAGTGTCATTGTGGGGCAACTCTTGACTACCTTTGAAAGGTCGTGTGGTCAGGAGAGATTCCTGAGGTCTGGAAGAAAACAAATCTAACTCATGTCTGCAAGATGGCCAAAAAGGAGGATGTAGAAAATTACAAGCCAGTCAGCCTCACCTAAATCCCTGGGAAACTGGTGGAATGCACCATTCTAGAAATCATTGCCAAATAAATGAAGGACAAAACGGTGTTTGGGGGATCATAGGGGATTTGTCAAGAGGAAATCATGTTTGATCAACTTAGGAGCCTTCTGCAGTGAGATTACTGGCTGCTGGAGAGCAGTGGTTGTTGCTTATCTTGACTTTAGTGGTGTTTTTGATGCTGTTTCCCATTACATTCTCATAAAGAAACTGATGAAGCACTGACTAGATAGTGGAAACTGAAAATTAGCTGAGCCGCTGGGCTCAGAGTGTTGTGATCAATGGCATAAAGTCCAGCGGGAGACCAGTCACTAGTGGTGTATCCCAGAGATCAGTACTGGACACAGTGCAGGTTAACACCTTCATTAAGCCTTGGATGATGGGATGGTGCACCCTCTGCAAGTTTGCAGTTGATACAGAATTGGATGGAGCAGTCAATACCTTGGATGGTTGTGCTGGTGTTCAGAGAGATCTTACCAAGCTGGAGAAATCAGTTGATGGGAACCGATGCAGGGGGTTGGGGGCCAACCGCTTGGAAAGAAGCTTTGCAGGGACCTGGAGCTGCTGGCAGACACCAGGTTGAACATGAGCAAGCAATGCGCCCTTGTGGCAAAGGCGGCCAACAGCATCTGTGGTGCATTCCAAAGGGTGGTGCCAGCTCTTCTGGAGCGCTGCTACAAGAGGTTATTCCCCGCTGTTCACTCAGCCCTGGTGAGACACATATGGAGCTCTCTGGTCAGCTCAGGACTCTGCCAGAACAAGAAAGTCATGGCTGTACTGGACCAGGAGTGCAGCAAAGGGCCATTAAGTTGATTACAGGAATTTTATCTTCTGTCTTAATCTTCATGCTCTTACTTAAGGTTTAGTGTCTTTGGTTCCCAAAAAGAAATATCAACAGACATTTCAAAATAGGTTTTGAAAAAAGAAGCATAAGCTACAATTCTGATGCTACTCTCTTTATTTGGAGGTGGGGTGGAGTATTGCAGATAAACATATTTGATAATTAAGTGGGGAACCTTTATCTGGCTTCCCATGAACCAGAAGCTTCTGTAACCCTGGTCCTGGCTTGTTCTGTTGTTTGTTCCTCTTTCCTTGGAGGCTTCTTTTTTTTTTTTTTTTCAGTATTAAGCTTTATCTCAACCCAGAAAGAAAGCGGTAACAACATCACTATCTTCAAATAATAAAAATACTATATGACTTGGAGGTGAGCAGGTCCTCAATACAGAATTAGGACGGGAAGCACAAAAACATAAGTGTGAAGATGTATGGGTTGCCTCCGTATTCTGTGGTAAGATATACCGCAGCAAAGAAAACAAAGACTGTTTTACACAATAGAACACAAATATTTGTAAATGCAATGGGAGTCACGTGGATGCTTATTATTTGACTTGTATATCAACTTTTGCAGCATTAGCATTTGTGTTCATGAATTCATCCACTAGAACAAAGATGAAAACAGGGACAGAAAATGGTTATTTTTAAAATTAACTGTATGTGGAAAATTTTACGTATTGTTTATTTTAGCCATTTATCTGCTGCAAATACCTTCATAAAGCACTCAAAGAGCCTCTTTCTATGCTTCAGTTAACCCAGCTGCCAAATATTTGTCTGCCTGTCAAATGAAAAGCCTTAAAACCAGTTAAAGAAGGAAAATGGAACAAAAAAGTCTACTGGCATCTATCCCAGTCTGCCATCAGCTAAGGATGCCATAGGACAGTTTGGCAGTAGAGGAACCACCATCCGCCCCTGGACTTCTCCAAGCGTAAGGCTGAGTTTTGCTCTCAACCCAGCCTGAAG